CTCCACCAGTCACTTAGTAAATAAACTAAATAAACAGAGGTATTGGAGTAAGGAAACTTCCCTAAGATTTTGCCCTGCCCGGGAATCAAACCCGGATCCTTTCGTTTGCGAGGCAAGTACTTCAACCAATACACTACTATTCATAGAATTATAGAATCATTGAATTGTACAGCACAACATGAGTTCATTCAGTCCATTGTGGCTGTGTTGGCTTTTGAAAAGAGCTATCCTATTCAATCCCACTCCCCCGCTCTCTCCCCATAGCCCAGCAAACTTGTCCTCGCCAAACATTTATCTACTTCTCTCTTAAACGTTGTTATCGAATCAAGACGGGTCTTGAAGGAGGCAAAGTAGGGGGACTGAGGCAGCGGACATCAAGCAGGCCAGATCCCACTGAGCGGAGGGAGTGGGCAGGTTGGTAGGGCGTTAGGAGGTTGAGGAGGTAGGGGGGAGTAAGGCCATGGAGGGCTTTCAAGGCTAATACCAGGATCTTGAGCTGTATCTTCTGTGTGATGGGAAGCCAGTGAAGTTGAGCGAGGATGGGGGTGATAGGGTCACAGAGCCTGGTGCCGGGGAGGATATGGGCTGGAGAGTTCTGCATAATCTGCAACCTATGGATGGAGGAATTGCGGAGGCCAACAAGTCAGGGAGTTTGCATTGTTAAACCTGGATATTATGAATGCACGTGTTGAGGGTTTTGGTGGCAGTGACGGAGCCGGCCGATGTTGCAGAGGTAGGGAAAGGCAGAGTGCGTCATGGCACGGATGTGGGGTAGAAAGGATAGTTGAGGGTCAAACAAGATGTCAAGGTTCCAGACTGGCTCAGTGAGGTGGAGTGTGCATCCATGGATAGTGATGCTGTCAGGGCCTGCGGTGTGTAGGCGCTGATGGGAGTCAATCAGGGGAGCCTCAGTCTTGTTGAAGTTTAACTGCAGAAAGTTAGCTCTCATCATTTGTCACTTTGACCTGCGCGGTTTCTGTGCTGTGGAGGGGTTCGTGAAGGGAGTGGCGGGAGAGGAGGCAGTGAAGTTGGGAAGCAACGACACAGTCCAAAAACTTGGAAAGGAACGGGAGGTTGGAGATGGGACGGTAGTTTGAGAGCACGGAGGTTTTTTTAAGGATAGGAGTGATGACTATCTGGCCAGCAGCCAAGTGCCATGGGAGAGAGGGGAGAATTTTCTGTAAAAGGGAACGGCCGCCCTCCTAGCCGGCCGTGCGTGGGGTGGTTCACGGGGTGGGAGCAGCAGGAGCTGGCAGTTGGGAGGACACAGTTGGTAAGCCTGCCTTCCCCTCAGCTCGAGAGCGACTTCCTGACAGAGGGCAGCCATTGTTGACACCACCCCCTACACCCCCGCATTGAGCTGCTGTATTGAGAGGACGGTTCGCCGGGGGAGGGAGCGGGAGGCCCGAGTATGGAAATGGTTCCTGGGACGGATGAAATGATGTCGCGGACCGCCATTTGAACCGCTTGGTCGAAATGACAGGGTCAAAGTGTCTGTCGGTCAAGAGAGGAAAGTGAATGGATTCCACACTCAGTTACCGTATCTCCCAATCTGTGAAGAGCTTTAAGATGTTCTCCTGTGTAAGAGACATTATATAGTGTTCCTCACTGTGTATAAAAGGGGAGCTGACTATGTATCACTTGTTTTCAAATCCCTTCATGCTCAGGAACCTCCCTACCTCTCTGATTTGCTTACCCACCTCCCCCCACTCTACCAGCCTCTGCCTCCGCTCAGCCAACTCCGGCCTTCTGTTTGTCCCTCATCCCCTCCGCTCCACCATCGGCGGCCGTGCTTTCAGCCACTAGGCCCCGAAGCTCTGGAACGCCCTCACTCAATCCCTCCACTTGCCCCCTCCACCCTCCCCACTTTCAAATCCCACCTAAAGACCTTCCTTGTTGATCGTGCTTACTGTCACCCCTCCCTTTCCCCCTGGCTCAGGGTCAGACTCCACCACTGTCAAGTGCTCCACCACGTGACGGACGCTATATAAATGCAAGTTGTTGTTGTGTAACAGAGGGACCTCAGGCGCCCTCTGTTGACTCTACAAGAGGTGACATAGGAAGAGAACCATAGCAATTTGCAGCACCATATGGTTCATTCTGCATCGTGTCTGTGCTAAGTTTTATTTTCACCATCCCTTTTTCTGTCCTATTCTCCAGTGCTCGTTTTGCCCTCACTCTCTAACCTTGAAATGCAAATTGCATTGTGTGTCAGCCAGGCTCAGTGGTACCACTCTTGCCTCTGGGTCAAATGATTGTGGGTTCAAACCCCATGGAGGAACTTCGAATCACGTAGTCTAAGGTGAGTCTCCAATGCATTGCTGGAGGGATTGCATTGTGGGAGAAACCTTCTTTCTGATGATATATTAATCCCACAACCAGGTCCTCCCCAACTGTTCTGGGGGACATCAGTAGCTCCGTGGCTGTTTGTGGGACATTGTTATGTGCAAACGTGCTGTCATGTTTCATCCAAACAGTCACTACGCTGCTCATCATTGGAACCCCAATCTCTCACCCGGCTCCTACTCACACTCTGTCTGTAAAGAGTGTCTTCCCGACGTGAAAGGCGCTATACAAATCTTGTTGTTGTTGTTTCAGCTGTTTTCCTGTGTGAATGGCAACTGTGTAAGTGGAGTTAGCAGCGCTGTATTAACACAGCAGTATTCAGTGAGCATTCACTCAGCCACAACGATAAGACACAAGGAGAGAGCAGCAAAACAGAGTTGGAAGATCTGAAGGACACCACCTCCAATAGTGGACCCATCTCTACTCTAAAACTGCCACCCCATCTCTAACTTTCCTTTCCTCTCCAAAGTCTTGGAATGAGTTGTTGCTTCACTTCTTCCTCTCCCACCATTCCCTTCATGAACCCCTCCATCGGTTTTCCGTGCCGCCCACAGCAGAGAAGCCGCCCTTGTCTAAGTGACAAATGATATTCTGTCCATCTGCAACCAGGGCTCCCTCTGCCTCCTCATCCTCCTTGACCTCTCTGCTGCCTTCGACACCGTCGATCACTCTATCCTCATTCACCACCTCTCCTCACCTCAACCTTTGTGGCTCTGTCCTTGACCTGGTTCAGATCATACCTCTCACACCGCCTCCACTTCATCTCCACAAACGGTTTCTCCTTTAGCCTCCACCCCACTCATGCGGAATTCTTCAGGGCTCTGTCCTTGGTCCCCTCCTTTTCAATATCTATATGCTCCCCAATGGTTCAGACATGGGGTGAACAACGACAACACCAACAAGATTCCATTTATAGAGCGCCTTTCACGTCGGGAGGACGTCCCAAGGCGCTGGACAGTTGGGTCAGGACCCGAGCAGGGAGGAAATGGTCAGGGTGAGGGGAGGAAAGGGAGGGAGCGAGGAGGGGGTAGAGAGTCGAGAGGGGAACTGGAACATGAGTGAGAGAATTCCCTGCTCCCATTGTATGGTCTGCTCTTCCAAGTCCTGCTGCAGTTTAGTTCCAAGTAGACCCCAAGGAAGATAGTCACCAGTTGGTCTTACAGCATCCGACAATTGCGAGTTTGAGTCCACACTAGGTAGATGGTAGGAACTCCCTACAAGCTTCCCAGTGGGCAACATATCTCAGCATAAAGTATCTCGTGGAGTCCTGTAGCTCAGTGATTAGAGCACTCGCTTTTGCAAACGAGAGACCTGAGTTCAATTCCAGGCAGAGGGCGAAATCTTGGGCAAGTTTCCTTACTCCACACAGAGCCTAATAATAATCCCTCCAAAACCAAAAACAATAATAAATTGGTCATTTTCACTCTATGACTGTTTGTGGGACATTGCTGTGCGCAATTGGCTGCCGCGTTCGCCCATAAATATACAGTCAATTCACTTTACAGTGTGTTCTGTGAAGCGCTTTGGGACGTCGAGAAGACGTGCAAAGCGCTATATCAAATGCAAGGATTATTATTATTATCTCAGCTTGAGCACATGTCCCTTCCCATTGAGCGACGGTTCCACCAGTTAAACGTGCAGAGTTTAAACAGCGGTTGCTGCTGGCCTCTCAACAAGTCAGTCAAGGTGGATTCCAGATGCTGGATGTACAAACGTGTGTTTACAAACTTGGACTCCGGGTAACGCCTCCAGTCCTTGCAGTACAACAACAACAATAAATTGCAGCGATTTTCAGGCCAGGAGGACCTCCTTCCAGGCGCTGGACAGTCGAGGGTTTTCAATCAAGCTGAGAGTTGGGATTCAAACACTTTTTTGGTCTCTGGGAAATATAGAAACAGACATTTTCAGCCCACGGAGCCCTTTCCCCTTTTCTGTCTGCCCTCCGCTCCCTGTGTTTCGAACCTCCCCACTCTCTCCTCACATCCTCAATCCTTTCAGGTATTTATCCAGTTCCCTTTTGAGCAATTCTCTTGTTCCGGCCTTCGCAGCCGCTCGTGGGAATGAATTCCAAGCCCAGCCATGAATCTACAATCAGGGTCGGCTCCCAGAATAAGCAACGTTTCCACAGGTAAGTGAGACACAGAGGTTTAATAATCAAGGAACCCACTCAGTTAGAAAACATTCAGATAGATTCTCCACTGGTCTGTGAACCAATGACTGTCCTGCAGTGCGCCCCAGTGGCCCAGTGTGTAAAGACAGCACACAGTTACAGCAATTGGAGTTAAACACAATACCTTGCATTTTTTATAGAAACTACAGTATAACACTTTACTGGTAATCACTAAGCACGTGTAGTCCTGTATGTTAGTGGTTAGAGCACAGGTCTAGGATTTGTGTTTGATTCCCGGGCAGGGCGAAACGTCGGACAAGTTTCCTAACTCCACCCGCCCCTGTTTACTGAGCAGTAACTAGGAACCCAGTTGTTAGTCGAATGGCGGATCACTTTCCAGGGATAATAATACCTTAAAAAAATGATCATTAGTAATAATTTGATCACTCAATCCACGACTGTTTGTGGAACACTGATGTGCGCAATTGCTGCCACGTTTCGCCCACAAAAGGGCTTTGAGATGTTTCGAAGATGTGATGAGGCGCTATATCAACTGCAAGGATTATTATTATTATTTGAAAGCAGATCTAAAATATCTGTTAAAAAACACAGTAATCAATCAACTATTCAATGCTGGAATGGCCACCAAGTGGCAGTGTGTCCCTCCTGACCGGGAATGGACTCTTCCTCTTCCAGGCCAGACCGCCACCATCTTTGATTTCCCTGAAGTGGAGATAAACACAATTGTAAATTGCAGACCTCGGGGCCGCCCGTGAATACACAGCAATAACGTGTTCACATATAGCAGGGCCGCAAGCCACAGCCGCGCTATACACACACTCGGACTATAATGAGCCGAGCTCTCGGGGACCGGACTGTACAATGTTGATGCATTGACTGCTGTTCCGGGCTCGATATAAGTCACTACAGGTCTCACCTGTATAAATGGCGGACAGCAGACTCTGGGCGGGACCAGTGTTCACTGCTCAGCTGATCTCCCCTTCGATTTGGTGACAACAGCATAAATCACATCTGGAAGAGAAACAAATGGAGTCAGGACATGTCCCACCACTTGCTGAGAGCTCTGATATAACGTGTGACCCACGTTAAAGTTTATAAAAACTCTCACATTTACTTTCACGACTCTAAGATCCAAATGTCTCAAAGAGAATCGCTGTCAAGTGTAGTGACTGTGTTCTTGATCAGCAAACTTGGCAGCGAATTTGCTTTCGAAATGTCCCACAAACAGCCATGAAACGAGAGACCAATTATTTTTGTAGCAATGATGGCCAAGACACCAGGACAGAGAAATTTCATTCTCTTTTCCAGCAGCACATTGCATTCCAGATGCCGGCAAACTTCCATGTGAGGGGACATATATAATGTAGCTCAGTGGTTAGAACACTAGCCTTGCAAGCAAGAGACCTGGGATTGATTCCCAGAAGGGCGAAACCTTGGGCAAGTTTCCTTACTCAAGAAAGAAAGAAAATAAATTGGTCGCTTCAATCCACGACTGTTTGTGGAGCGCTGCTATATGCAATTCGCTACCGCGTTTTGCCCACAAATATAGTCAATTCAATTTACAGTATATTCTGTGAAGGCTTTGCAAAGTCTAGAAGACGGGAAAAGCGCTACATCAAAAGCAAAGATTATATAACTCTCAATCTGGTTTGGATACTCTTGAGAACGGTGATGGGTTTCTACACTTGGCTGAGCCAAAAAAACCTCAATAGACAAACAGGACTTTGGTTTAATATTGCAATCAAAGAACAGCACTTCTCACAATGCAGCGCTCCTCCCAGTACCGCACCGGACTGCCAGCCTGGACTGTGTGAGCTCGAAGGCCCCCGGGGTAGGGGTCTGTGAGGTCAGTGCTGAACTGGATATTAATCGTGTCACTTAATGTAACAACAACAGCAACAACAATTTGAATTGATTTCACATTTGGAGGACACTTCAGAGTGGTGCTATCACGTCATCAAAACATATCAAAGCGTGTCTAATAGCACTTTACAGGATTCACTGTGTTCTGTGGTGACTGTATATTTGTTGGTCAATGCGGCTGCCAATTTGGACCCACAAACAACCATGAAGTGAATAACCAATTTAATCTGGACACCCAGAGAAACTCCCTCCTCTTTTCCAATAGAGCCACAGGCTATTTATCATCCACCTGAACAGGGACAGATGGGACTTCAGTTTAATGTCTCATCTGATGGACAACACCTACGACAATGCAGTGTTCCTCCTGCACCAGGCAGCCTAGATTATGTCAGTAAAAGACCCAATGTGGGGCTTGAAACCACAACCTTCTGACTGAGAGGTAAGAGTGCTTCCAAGTAAGCCAGGCCGATGGTTAACCCCGGACAGGACAGCGAAGGCAGATCCTGTCGGCTGAGAGGCGAGACAATGCCGGCTCCGTCCCCGTGTGATACGTTTCTTACCTGAATCTGTTTGCCGGGCCGGTGCTGGGGGAACCACACTGCAGATCACAGCAGCTTCGTCTGTCAGAGACACAACAGTCAGCTCTTTCTCCAGCTCTCTTCAGCTTCCTCTTTTCCACTATCTACTGGGGCCGGAGCCTCTATAAGGTTTCCTCTCAGCCATCCCATGACAGAGCCCTGAGGCTCCCTTCTCACTGCAGCCCCAATTATCCAATTAGATCATTTATACCCAGTTTGAGCGCATTTGGCTGTTGCCCTGTGAGGCTCTGAAAGGCTCTCCTTTTAGTCCCATTCCCCTTCTTGCATTGGCTTTCAGATTTTTCACAGCAAAATATATCAAAACATGTCACAGGATTCACTGTGAAGTAAGCACAACAGACAATTTGCACCCAGCAGCATCCCATAGACAACTGTTAAATGAGGAACCAATTTTATGTGGACACAGGGAAAGCTCCCTTTTGTTTTCCAACAGGATCTTTAACATCCACCTCAACAGACACAGATGGGACCTCATCTCATGGACTCCGATAATGCACTGCTCCACCAGCACTGCACTGGAGTCTAAGCTTACATTATGTAAGTGGACGGACCCACAACCGAGAGGTGAGAGTACTGCCACCTGAGCCAGTAAAGACAATCAGACTGAGATGCCGTCCGGCATTGGAGGACGCTATATAAATCCAAGTTGTTGTTGTTGTAAAGGGAAGGCAGATGCCTGTCGGCTGAGAGGTGAGATGATGTCGGCTCCGTCCCCGCGTGATACGTTTCTTACCTGAATCTCTTTGCCGGGCCGATACTGGGGTAACCTCACTGTATATTACAGCTGCTTCATCTGTTCGAGACACAACAGTCAGTTCAGTTTTCCAGCTCTCTTCAGCTTCCCTTTTGCTGCAATCTACCGTGTCACTGGGCAGCAGCGGCAGAGTGTATAAGGTGCCCTCCCAGCCGTCCCATGATAGAGCTCTGAGGCTCCCCTCTCACTACAGCCCCGTTTATACAATCAAAACATTTATACCCAGTTGGAGACCATTTGGCTCTGAAAGGCTCTCCCTTTAGACCCACTCCCCTTTGCCCATTTACTTTCATATTTTTCTTTTCCAAATATTATTGGTGACTTGGCAGGTGTATTTTGCACACAGTGATGTGAGAGACCAATTGTCATCCAGGACATTGGAAGGAACTGCTTTTTTTTGACAGTGTCACAGGATCTTTAACATCCCGATGGGCACAGGGATTCTTTCCACTCAGCTCCTGTTGGGTGACAGATATATGGCACTCTCTGGGAGGATGGTCCCAGCTGGACAAGCAGCAGGAAGCTTATTATCTAATGCTTTCAATGGCAAGCTATGTGGTTTCAGCTGGTTGTACTCCAGCAGTTATCTCGATGACTTGGTTCTCGCCACTGAGCGCTGAAAATTTTCTGAAATGAGGTAAGCAGGATGAGTCTCTCCGTGGAGACGGAGAGAGTGAGCCATTCCATATATGGAAATTTCCACGTGTAGGTGACTTACATGGGTGGAATTCTCAGTCTGGTTTGGATGCTCTGAAGCACAGTGATGGGTTTCTCTGTGTGAAGACACCCAGAGCCAGAGGTGAGATGGTCACTGACTGAGCTCGACTGAGACCCAGTGACCGGATATTGAAAGCACAGGGTGAAAATTGTGGCATCGCTAATCGAGACAGGACAGTTACCGTCTCCTGCAGGCGGCTGAGGTCGGACCATGTCGTTTTCAACACTCAAATCCACTTGATGACTAAAAAAAAGAGAAAACTTTTTATATTGTACATTTTATAGAGGCCACTGATAAGTGCTCTGAGATACTAACCAGCGTGGAGAATGCTATATAAGTGCAAGTTGTTGTTGTGAGGGTATTGGTGGCCAGGGGGCCGGGAGAAACCCTCTTCTCTGAAGGGTCCACGCCTCAGTTTGGCCACAGCATTGTGTGCAGTCCTGGGTAGCGCGTTTCAGGAAGGATATAAAAACAGATGAGGTGCAGGAGGGAATCAAGAACAGCCGCTTGCACTTATATAGCATCCTTCATGTCAGAGATCTTCCCTCATCTCTTCAGAGAGAAGCAGTAGAAGTCCGAGTTGAATGGGAGAAAGCGCATTCATTACCTAGATTTTGAAAGTCCAAGAGCGAGGCCGAGGGATTTATATGAGAGTTCCAGGTGTCGTGTGATACCTCACAAATAAAATGAAATTCTGTTACCAAAAATGTTGCCCTGGAGCCAGCTCAGCCCTGAGGAGACCCACTTAACACCCCCACAGAGGAGACACGAGTTGGTCATTTGGGAGTGAGGGGGTGGCAAAGGTACACGGTGTCTCCTTGGGCTTGGCTGGCTCCAAGGTGACATGCTTGGCAACTGAATACTGGACTCGAGCCCACCTTCTAATCCAGTTCCTGAGCCAGCTGAGTCCACAATATTGTAGGGCACTGCTAATGACAGCACAGCCTGGCTCATCGGCTAGAGTTGGGGGCAGGGAATCCTCCCATTCAGCTCCTGTTAACCCTGCAAGCCAAAGCCCTAATGGTCCTAGCTGGACAAGCAGCAGGAAGCTTGCCAATCATGGTGTTCAACAGCAATTAGGAACTTGAAAGTGGATGTAAAAATAAAGAGATTAGAAAGGCACTCTCACCTCTCTGAAAGCTGAAGGGAATGTCTGGTACCGCAATCTGAAGAGACCAAAGAAAGGTGAGAGATTGCTTTAGATGATTTGCTGATGACGTTGGTTAGTGCACACGTTATTCCAGTGAAATCATAGAATCATAGAATTATACAGCACAGAAGAAGGCCATTCATCCCATTGTGTCCATACCACCTCTTTGAAAAGAGCTATCAAATTCAATCCCACTCCCCTGCTCTCTCCCTATAACCCTGCAAACTTCTCCCCAAATAATTATCTACATCTCTCTTAAAACTTGTTAGCAAATCGGCTTCCACCACCCTTTCAGTCAATGGATTCCAGATTCCAACAGCTCGCTGTGTGAAAACATTTCTCCTCACCTCCCCTCTGTTTCTTTTAATAACTATTTTACTTCTCCTCATAATTTTGAAAACTTCTATTAAGTCTCCCCTTAACTTCTCTTCTCCAAGGAGAATAATCCTAGCTCAAGGCTAGACCCGCAGAGGGAAAGACATGTGGGAATCTCCTCTTCCTGTTGTGTGGTGTAACCATGATTACTGAAGTAGGAAGCCAGGCTCATATCACCATCAAAAGAATCCATTTACTCCACTGTGTCTGTGCTGGTGTTCGCTCCCCCACTGGAGCTCTCTACCCTAATCCCATCCCTGCTCTCTCCCACTGTGTCTGTGCTGGTGCTCGCTCCCCCACTGGAGCTCTCTACTCTAATCCCAGTCCCTGCTCTCTCCCACTGTGTCTGTGCTGGTGCTCGCTCCCCCACTGGAGCTCTCTACTCTACTCTAATCCCAGTCCCTGCTCTCTCCCACTGTGTCTGTGCGGGTGTCTCTCGCTCCCTCTCTTCTTATTTTCAGGTCTCGGCTGAAGACCTTTCTTTTCGACCGCGCCATTGATCACCTCCCCCCCCCCCCCCCCCCTCCCTCTGACTCGGCCCCGGGATCCGTTACTATGAAGCTCTGAGACTCCGTCCAGCGTGGAGGGCTCTATATAAATCCAAGTTGTTGTTGTTGTAGGGGCTCATCTCTCTCTAACAATCAATATGTAATCGGACTGTGCTGTGAATAAGGTAATAGTAGGATATCTGGCGTGTAGATAATGTCACAGGGAATATTTAGCATGTGGTTATCCGGACCTGAGAATCTGGTTATCAGGTCTTGTGGCCATGCGGTTATCCGGTGTGCAGATACACAGCGTTGCGTAATAATTAAAAGTAAATGTTGTTATGGTAGTAAGTAACAGCAGCAGATTATTTGCCGAGTCCGGAGTAGAGAAGTGCGAGCGGCTGAGCCAGACTCACTCGGAATAATCACCACCTTTGTGTGTAAACACCTACCTCTCTTTACCCCCCAGATAATGGCAGTCACCAGAATGAGGAGCACCACAATGGAGATGCCGACATACAACATACTGTCTACACCATGCAGTATGCCCCCGTCACTGTGTCTGCCTCCGTCACTGTGTCCGTCGCCATCACTCTGTCTGTTCCCATCACACTGTGATCCAGGTGCGAGGATGTCTCTGGCGTCTCTGCCCTGTGTGTTCTCAGCTATACAGCGATAAGTTCCCCTCAGCCTCGGGCCCCGGATCTCCCCCACGGTTAGATGCTTGTCCGGTACGTGTGTGACTGGCGTGTGGCTGGTGTTAATGGGCAGCGTGTTATTCTTGGGGTCGATCCATGTGATGTTGGCCGGTGGTTCCCCCTCAGCCGTGCACACGATGTCAACTCCGACTTCAACACCGGCCACGAGGGACAGACTCAGGATGACAGCCGGAGCTTCAAGTATAAAGAAACACAGAGTTATTCTAACCAAACAACTTTCCCCATCGTGTTTGTGCTGGTGCTCACTCCTCACTGTAGCTCTCTACTCTAACCCCATTCCCTGCTCTCTCCCCATGGTATCTGCTGGAGCTCTCTCCTCTAATCCCTTTCCCTGCTTATTGAAATTCCTTTTTAATATCATAGAATCTTACAGCACAGAAGAAGGCCATTCAGCCCATCGTGTCCGTGCATCATGTTTCGCCCTGCCCAGGAATCGAACCCAGGTCCTCTTGCTTGCAAGACAAATACTCTAACGCACAGGATTCCACTGAGCAATCAACTAGTCCCACTTCCGCACTCTTATCCCATAGAGCTGCAATTTTTTTCCGTTTTGAAGACCTATCCAATTTACTTTTGAAAGCTATTATCGAATCTGCTTCTACTACCCTTTCAGGCAGTGCATTGCAGACTGTAAAGAACTCTCTGGGTAAAAAAATGTACTCATCGTCTCCACTCTGGTTCTTTTCCCAATTACCTTAAATCTGTGTTCTCTGGTTACTGACCCACCTGCCGAGTGAAACAGTTTCTCCTTATTATATATTAACATATTAACAAGAGCAATAGTCCTAATAACGACAACTGGGGGATACCACTGTATACCTCTCTCCAGTCTAAAAAACAACCATTCACCACTAACCTCTGCTTTCTGTCTCTCAACCAATTTTCGGATCTAGGCTGCCACTGTTCCCTTAATCCCCATAGCCTGTAATTTTGCTAACATAACTTGAGCAGAGAGCCCAGCAGTGTGAGGAGAGAACTGAGTGAGTTGGAACATAGTAAGAATTCTGTTAAGGAATTTGGTGAGAGTGGGAATTCAGTGCAGATAAGGAAAGAGATGCAGGTGAGAACTTGTTTTGATCTCCTTGTAAAGGAGAAGCAGAACCAGCAAGAGAGCTCAGTGGGGGATCCTCTTCGGGGCCTGCAGGAGATCGCAGAGTGAAGTCAAGTGTAAAAGAAGGAAGTTTCAGTTGGTCTAGACACAGGATCACCCAGACCAATGGTAATACTCCTGAGGAAGTAGCTGTTAAGTATTGAGGAGTGCGAGGAAGGGACAAAAGGTGTGAAATTACTTGTTTGCTATTTATCCTGAAATTGCTAATGGTAAAATAGATTAAGGGAAAATAACTAAAAATAAATCAATGCCAAAGGTAAAGCCTCGTAAATTTAAAAAATATATATCTAAATAATCCTAAAAAGTAAGTGGATAAGAAACTAGAAAGGGATAATGGTAACACAGCAATAACAACAGCAAAATTACATTTATAGAGAGCCTTTCATGTCAGGAGGACGTCCCAAAGCTCTGATAGGTCAGGTGTTAGGGCACCTCTGATAGGTCAGGTGTCAGGGGAATGGTGGTGTAGGGGTGAGGGAAGGCAGAGAGGTGGGGGGGAGACCAAAGACATGGTCGAAGAGACCGGCCTTGAAGGAGGCAATGGAGGAAGTGAGGCCAAGGGACCGTGGGATGGTGTTCCAGAGTGTGGGGGCAGAGAGGCTGAAAGTCCGGCCATGGTAGAGCGGGTCGGGCTGGAGACATGGAGCAGCCGGAGCCTGATGAGCGGAGGGAGTGGGCAGGTTGGTAGGGAGTCAGCAGGTCAGAGAGGTAGGAGGGGGCAAGGCCATGGATGGCCTTAAAGGTGAGGATAAGGATCTTGAACTGGGGGATGAGGAGCCAGTGGAGTCGGGCGAGGGTGGGAGTGATGGGGTCACGGAGACTGGTGCGTGAGAATACATGAACTGCAGAGTTTTGGATGATCTGCAGATTGTGAAGGGAAGAGTTGCGAAGGCCGACGAGGAGGGAGTTCCCGTAATAGGAGAGGAAATTGAAGATACATTCATCATAATTTTCCAAATCTCACTAGATTCGGGAATTGTACTGTTAATTTGGAAAATTGCAATGGCACCCCTTTATTTAAGAAGGGGGGGAGGGAAAAACCAGCAAATTACAGACCTGTCAGTATAATGCCAGTTGTAGGGAAAGTACTGGAATCCATTACCAGGGACAGAGTGACTGAACATTTGGACAGGTATGAGCTCGTCAAAGAGAGTCAGCGTGGGTTTGTGAAGGGTAGGTCGCGTCTGACTAATTGAGTTGAATTTTTTGAGGAGGTCACTAAAATGGTGGATAAGAGAGTGTCTATTGGGTGTCATTTATATGGACTTTCAGGAGACATTTGATAAGGTTTAAATGGCACAACAGACTCGAATCGGCTGAATGGCCTCCTCCTGTTCCTATGTTCCTGTGAGCCATAAATATTCAGATCTATTTTGTAGAGTTTCTTTAGATAGCGGTCAATAAGAAATATGTACATATCAAATATGCAAATCATCCGTTTTTGATGTATTAGATAATAATCACAGGATTCACAAGGTTCATGTGAAGAAAACCCTTCAGCCCATTTGTTCTCAAGCTTCTCTTCGACATGACTTTTGTTCCTCCCTTTTACCCTGCTCCCCCTCCTTACTATCGGTTTCCCTTTTGTGTTTGATTATGCGTTCACTGAAACCCATTTTCCACATCCACATCTCTTTCCTCCCAGTTCTGACAAAGGGTCGTTGACTCACTTTCCTCTCTCTGTTTTTGTCACAGAATGCACTGTTAAGTGAATTGACTGTATTTTGTGGGTGAAATGTGGCAGCCAATTGGGCACACAAGTGTCCCACAAAGAGTCATGGATTGAGTAACCAAATTATTTTTATTTTATTTATTATTTGGAGGGATTATCACCCCCAGAAAATGATCCACCAAACGATTAACTACCTAATGTTCTCTTATTAATTCTTATTAGTAAAATCAGAGGACATGGCCTGTGATTGAAGGAGGGTTTATGATGAGCAGAACATCTGATATTGTGATACTTGGGAGTCTCCAAACCAAATGGCTGAGAGTTGCATTCACGTTACAGTTCTGTTTGAACAGTATGGGATGTGCACTCTCTCCCAGGAGGGCCACACGCAAAGGTCAGTGTTTGGGGAGCCCAGAGTGTGCATTGGGAAAACTGCTGGAGTTTTACCAGGTTTAAAGGGATTGAAAACAGTAAATTTAAATCAATAATTTAGAATACAACAATAGCATAGAAGAGGACACAGGTTTGGAGTCGCAAATGCCAAGTTTTTCTTCACTCAGAGGGTAATCAATGATTGGAACAAGGTCGCCAGGAAGGGTGGTACAGGCCAGGATACTGGACACATTAAAAAAGCAGCCTGATATTGAGATGGTGGTGGAGTGCGGGTGGGGGGGGGTGGAGCACATGAGGAATGGGATAAGGAATGAGACGAGCCTCATCCCACAGAGACAAGAGATTTCTTACCAACAACCTGCAGCTCTGACATGTCCTGTGTCACCTGGTCCAGTTGGGATCCTTTACTTATAAACATGACGTGTACGTGACAGAAATACCGTCCGGTGTCGTTTAACTCCAGGCCCCTGATCTTCAGGGAAGCGTCTCCATCTCCCACATTCCTGACCAGCTTGTAGCGATTTCCTTCATTCACTGTCTCTGACTCCCTGGAGTTGGTGCGGGCGGTGAGGCCAAGAGTGTAATTAAACACCAGCTGCCCATGTGGCCTCCCTCTCCTCCAAAGCACTGTGACTGTGGCACGAATCTGGTATCTGTTGGGGATGGTGAAGGAGCAGGGCAGTGTGGCATCACCTCCCTTGGTATCAGTCACTGACCGGAGCTTCTCTTCATGACCTGAGACAGGAACAGGATTGGAATAGTGCAGAGCAGTCAATGTGACAGAGTACAACAACAACAACAAGATTCCATTTATAAAACGCCTTTCACGTCAGGAGGACGTCCCAAGGCGCTGCACAGTTGGGTCATGACCCGAGCAGGGGGGAAATGGTCAGGGTGAGGGGAGGGAAGGGAGGGAGCGAGGAGGGGGGAAATGGTCAGGGTGAGGGGAGGGAAGGGAGGGAGCGAGGAGGGGGAAGAGAGTCGAGAGGGGAGCTGAAGGCACGGTCAAAGAGAATGTTACACACTGTGAAATCCTGGATATGTTACCTGCTCTTCATGGCACCATCTCCCTCAGGCCTGTGCTCCTCACTCACCCTGTGTGAGCCTGTGGGCAGCACAATGTCTCACACACAAAACATGGTATTTTTATAGCATCAATAATATTCTTACTGGTAAGTCCTGCACCTTAGTGATAAGAGCACTCGCCTCGCAAGCTGGAGGATCTGGGCTTGATTCCTGGATAGGTGAAAACCTTGGGCAAGTTTTCTTACTCCACACCCCTCTGTTTACCTAGCAGTAAGTAGGAAGCCATATTTTCTTCGATTGGCAGATTGATTTGCTTGGTATTAATCCCTTTAAAAAAAACTGGTCACTCAATCCATGACTGTTGTGGGACACTGCTGTGAGAAATTGGCAGTCATGTTCCGCCCACAAAATATACAGTCAATTCACTTTACAGTGTATTCTGTAAAGCGCTTTGAGATGTCTAGAAGATGTGATAAGGTGTTATATCAAATGCAAGGATTATTAATATTTATTACTGTAAGTGCAGTGATTGTATTGCTGTCAGTTTACTCTAAGGCCCCAATGGTTATGAAATAACAACCAGGTTCCTACTTACTGCTGTGTAAACAGAGGCGTGTGGATGAAGGAAAGTTGCCTATGATTTGATCCCACGTGGGAATCAAACCCAGGTCCTCTCGCTTGCGAGGCAAGTGCTCTAAACCCTACGCTACTGGACTCCACAGCATAGTTTGTCCTTGACAGTACAGTTTGGCAAGGTTCCTGCTGTTTATGCTTCCTATATAGCGCCCTTAACTGGAGGTAGCAACCCAAAGCGCTCTGGGACGCTACCCTGCGTGAAGGACGCTATATCAAAGCAAGTTGTAGTTTGTCCAGAGAGGCCAGTGCAGATAATGAGCTGAATGGGAGGATTCCCTGCCCCCAGTGACTGGTCTGCACTTCCAAGTCCTGCCAATTAGGCTGATGCCAAATCATCAGTGGCCTGGATTACTGCGACCCGCCTGGCTGAGGAACCAGACCAGCGACCACCACAGAAGACTGAATGCATACTAATGTGCTAAGGCTGCCATTTTGGAACCAGTCCCTGCATTAACACCAGTCCCCCCAACCCCACCCCCACTGCTGAATACAGGTCCTCATGTGAAGGGCCTTGGCAAATAGACAACCCCACAGTGAGGCCACCTCAGCCTCCAGGTGCTCAGTGACAGCACAGCCCTCCCTCCCTGCAGCTGCTCACTCACTGTCACCTGTCAGCTCCCTGCTACACACTGTCCAACACTGGCTCTCTATTGCCCGTCCTGGGACGGGACACTCTCCACTGACTCCGGCCCCAGTGAGGAATGTCACGTCTCATTCCCACTTCCCATCGTTCCTCACCTGTAACAATCAGACGTGTTTTGGGGCCAATTTCATACTTTCCGTCCTCACCCTGGAGCTCCACACAACAGGACAACAGCTTATTATTGTCCTTTCCCCTCAGTTGGTTTATCTTTATTGTGGCGTCGTTCTTCCTCGTGTTCCCAATCACTCGGTGTCGCTCTCCCTCGTTTACATCAATGACATTTTGGTACTTTCCCTGTGAATCCGGCCCATAATTTGTATATTTAATATACACAGTACCATTCCTTCCTGCCTTCCACATGATGGTGATGTTCCCTGTGTATCTGGGGTGAGGGGGAGTGAACTTGCAGTACACGGTGACCGGTGACCCTAACCTGCCGGTCACTGTATTGGGGGTCTCCATCGTCCAGTTATTCTCACTGAGCCCTGTGAAGACACACATGGTGTAATGTGAATCAGAAGACAATAAAAAAGATCACAGCTTTGCTTTCCTGTGAGAAAAGCAATATAAAAGCAATGGGAAAAGTGCAGCTTAGATTCACTGGGATGTCCCTGGAGACCAAGGATTTCAGCTACAAAGATAAATTTGAGAGATTAGTGGCTTTTTCACAAGAGCTGAAAAGATTAGGAGCGACCGGACAGAGAAGGAAACTCGGGTCTCCTGATAACTCATCACCGAGCCATTTTTTAATAGATATTTAAGAGGATGAATATTAAAGGGTGTGGAAGAGGGGAATGACGGGACAGAGGGATTAGACTACATGGCTTGTGTGGAGAAAAACAGATGGACTGGATGGGCTGTTTCTGTACAATAAAAATACATCGTTTGTCGTCAGCCAGGTGTCTGAAGCAAGTGGAAACCCATCACTGTGCTTCAAATCAAACTACTCAGGTTTCCATCTGTACATAGAAACTTATGTTTGCCTGGAATGGAACATATACTCACTCCCCAGAGGGATGTATCATGCTTATGTTGACAAACTCCAAGTATTGGGGACCCCAGAGTCTGCATTTGGGTAACTGATAGAGTTTAACTCATGCTAACCACTGAGAATACGGTCAGGCAAACTTTCCCACTGCTTGTCGAGCTATGACCACTCTACCCGCGGGGGCTTTGGATTGCAGGATTACAGTAGCCAAGTGGAACGAGATCCAGCTGTCAACGACTGTACAGACAAGATGGGGAGAGTGTAAGGAAAGAGATTAGAGTAGAGAGCTCCAATGGGGATTGAAAAGCAGCAGGGAGCAATTGGGGAAATGAAACAGAGGCAGAGTTAACAAGTAAACGCTTGCACTGTGAGGCTCAGTGAGTGACACTCAGCGGCAGGTCTGTCCAGTTTAAAGATAGGAATCTTATTTCCAGATGTCACATGACTCTGTAATTATTCCAGTAAAAGGTAAAGCAGTAATTAAAGCCAGTCAGGTTTCTGATTGGAAAGTACGTACGGAAGGCAGAGGCTGACAGGACCAGGGTACAGAGCACAGCTCCCAGCATCATCGTCCCTCACTCAGGACACACTCCTTCCCCTCACACGTCTGCCTCGCACTGACACAGCTGGTCACCCTTCTCTTTCCTTCCTCCTCTCGTTCTGCAGTCACCACCAGAGCTCCAACCCCCACATCCGCTTTGTTCTGATGCTCTATAATATTTCTTCCCAATACCAACCCTGCGCCTGTAACTGCGTTAAGCGCTTTAAGACATTCTCCCAACGTGAAAGGCGCTCTATCAATGTAATTTTGTTGTTGCTGTTGGGTGCTATGTTACAGTAACTGGGTGACTTTTAATCCTCTTTTGCATTTTACACACCTTTATTCCAACACCAACAAATCACCTTTGTATAGCGCTTTCATGTTGGGAGGATGTCGGGAGGATGTCCAAAGGCGGTGGACATTTAGGGATTTGGACCCGATCTGGGAGTTAGGATCACTCCCTCACCCCCCCCATATCGTTTAATATACCACCTTTTCAAACATCTATCCAAATCCCTTTTATAAACTTGACGGATTTTTGCCTTAGATGTGATTTGTGGCAGAGAATTCCACAAACCCACCCCCTCTGTGTGAAGACAGGGCTTCTAACGCCTCTTAGTTCCTTTTTTGTGATCCTTTTATATTTGTTCCTCTTGCAACTAACTGATAAATGGAAATAAATCTATTGGTATTTCCCCTATTGTGACCTCTATCAGGTCACCCCTAACATGTGGCAGAGGCTAACAGGACCAGGGTACAGAGCACAGCTCCCAGCATACATACGCTCACGCTTTTCCCTCGCACACCTGCTTCTCCCCAGCACTAACCATGCCCTCATCCATTCTCTTACCCTGGGTCTGCAAATCCAGGTCAACACTAACAATAATCCTTGCATTTGTCACGTTTTCGTCCTCAAAGATCTTCACAGAATTAACTGTAAAGTGAATTAACAGTCTATTTTGTGGGCGAAACCATCCGCTAATTGAGCACAGCAATGTGTACCACAAACAGTCGTGGATTGAAGTGACCAATTTATTTTTTAAAGGAATTATTACCCCCGAAAAGGGATTTGCAAATTGACTAAGGTCCTCTGCTTCCTTCCCTTCAGCCAATTCTGAATCCAGGTCCATGTCTTGCAAAACCCAAAATACTGCAGTTGCTGCGAATCTGAGACAAAAACAGAAGTCGCTGGTCCATGTCTTGCCCATGATACCCAGGGATAACAGTTTGTGAAGTTGTCTTTCATGTGGCACTTTGCTGAAAGTCTTTTGGAAGTTTAGCTGCACCACAACATATAGCTTCCGACAACTAATTTGAGCTGTCACCTCATCAAACAAACTGTATGAGTTTGGTCAGACAAGACGTACGTTTTCTGAACCTGTTCTGATTATTTTAAGATTCAAAATAATGAAATTGGATGTCAATTAGATTATTTTCATATCTAAAGAAAGGAAGTGGTAAACGTCCACTTCCTTTCTAATGGAAAAAAGAAGGTAATTATTGAGGTCAGGCTAATGGGTCGATAGTTCCCAAGTTTATTTCTGTCACCTTTCTTGAGAACTCCTTCCCCTCCCTGTTTTCTTTGTTCTTTACTTTCTTTGAGATCTCTGACTGAGCTGTATACATAACCATCTTATCGGCAGCCAATTTGTGCAAGGCAACTAAAATAATCCTTGCATTTCATATAGCGCCTTATCACATCCTCGAGACATCTCAAAGCGCTTCACAATACTATAAAGTGGTTTGACTGCATAGTTTGTGGGTGAAACGCGGAGCCAATAAGCGCACAGCAGTGTCCCACCAACAGTCATGGATTGAGTGTCCAAATATTTTCTTCAAGGTATTATCATCCCCGGAAAAGCTATCCACCAAGCGACTAACAAGGCTGAGGAGGGTAGAGGGCATGGGTTGAAGTAGGGAGATCGAAAGCATGGTCGAAGTGGAGGGTCTTGAGATGGGTCTTGAAGGAGGCAAGGAAGGAGGTGAGCACCAGAAGGTGAGGGCAGGATGGCCTGTCCGCCAATAGTGGGGCGAGTGAGGCAGGGAATGTGAAGCAGGCAGGAGCGCGCTGAGTGTAGGGAGCGAGCAGGATGGTAGGGTTAGAAGGTGGTAGAGCTAAGGGGGAGCAAGACCATGGAGGGCTTTGAAGGTGAGGACCAGGATCTTGAACTGTATCCTCTGTGTGATTGGAAGCCAGTAGAGTCGAGCGAGGATGAGGATGATAGGGTGATGGAGCCTGGTGTGGGAGAGGACACGTGCACCTGGTTGCAAGAGTTCTGGATGATCACCAGGTCGAGGGAATGATAACGGATGTTGGAGGCAGAGGGGATGTGGAGGGAGAGGATCGGGGAGGAGATAAGGGAGAAGTCAGCAGAGGCAGAGCAGGACGCGGTGAAGTGTAGGTTGAAGTCACCTAGCATGAGGAGGGGTTCGGAGCAGAGGGATAGGAAAGATAGGAGGGTGGAGATGTTGGAGAAAAGGTGGAGGAGGGCTTGGGGGGCGATAGATAAGGAGACTTTTGAGGGAAAGGTTTCGAGAGCTGATAAAGGATAAGGTGCTCAAAGGAGGGAAAGGTTCCACAGGAGTAAGAGGAAAGCCGAGCAGGGACCAGGAGATAAGAACCACACCGTCACCATGGCGGTGGAGTGGAGTCCTGTAGCTCAGTGGTTAGAGCACTCGCTTTGCAAGTGAGAGACCTGAGTTCAATTCCAGGCAGAGGGCGAAACCTTGGGCAAGTTTCCTTACTCCACACAGAGCCTAATAATAATCCCTCCAAAAAAAATAAAACAATAATAAATTGGTCATTTTCAATCCACGACTGTTTGTGGGACATTGCTGTGCGCAATTGGCTGCCGCGTTCGCCCATACAGTCAATTCACTTTACAGTGTGTTCTATGAAGCGCTTTGGGACGTCCTCCCGACTTGAAAAGCGCTATATCAAATGCAAGGATTATTATTACTATTATTAGGATTATTATGGCAGTTAGGTCGAGGGGTACGGTGGAAGGTGTAGCCGGGTGGTGTGGCCTCTATCAGGGGGAAGGTGTTGCCTGGAGTGATCCAGGTTTCAGTGAGGGCGAGAATGTCGATGTTTTCATCGACAATCAGGTCTTGGATGGTGAGTGGCCCGGGATCCATTATTGTGAAGCACTCCGAGACGCCATCAGGCATTGAGGGCACAATATAAATCCAAGTTGTTGTTGTTGAGTGTTTTGTTGGCGAGGAGCAGACATTTTGTAAGCCGATGCGGGGGTGACAGTTGGTGGCGGAATGTGGGGGGCGAGGGGGGAGGGGGAGGACTGACTGCGAGGGTGGGGATGTGGATGAGGGAGGAGAGGTTGGCCCCTGACCAATGAGCCTTGCAGCAAGAATGGGGGATAGGGCAGTCTGAGTGGCTGCTGTTGGACAGCCAGTGGCATCTGCCACAGTGGGCCTGATGGAGAATTTGCAGGATGGAGCAGAGGGGGGCAGTGGGATGTTCAAACAGGGATAGGAGTCGGGGAGGGCGGGGGGAGAGTTCAACTAAGCGGGAGAAATGGAGGGTGGAGGACAGGGGTGGGAGCACTATGGGTAAGCAGCTCAGGTCGGTGGTGGCAGCTAACACGCTGGGAGGAGGGGTCACCGAGGCATGGTTAGCCCGCTGGCGTGGGTCATCATGGGGAGAGGGGACAATGTTATATAGTCCCAGTGAATCCAGGCTGAGAGATTCAAAGTTGGCGTGTGGATGTGAGGTCACACGGCAGCCGGTCTCTGGTTGCATGTTGACCAGGAGAGTCAGTGATGCCCACAACGTTATCCCACATGAAGGACAATATATATTGGCAATTTGTTGTTGTATATCTACTTAACAAAATGTACCACAATTCTGAGTGACATTTTTCCAGTCTTCTCTTCATTTTTCCTTTGTGAGATGTGCCAGTTTTATCCCCGCTCTCCCAATCTGTGAAGAGCTTTAAGATGTTCTCCTATGTAAGCGACACTTGATACGCTACTATATACTGTGACTGAAGTACCTCAGGCTCCCTCTGTTGACTCTACAGAAAGTGACATAGGAAGAGAACCATAGCAATTTACAGCACCATATGGTCCATTCTGGCATTGTATCTGTGCTGAGTTTTATTTCCGCCATCCCTTTATCTGTCCTATTCTGCAGCGCTCGGTTCACCATCTCTCTTGTTCAAGTGTAAATTGTATTGGGTGTCAGCCTGGCTCAGTGGTAGCACTCTCGCCTCTGAGATAAAGGGTTGTGGGTTCAAACCCCACAGCGGAACTAAGAAGAGTCTCCAAAGCATTGCATTGTGAGAGAAGCCTTTTTGATGGTATGTTAATCGCACGTCCTGCCTGACTGTTCAGGTGGACGTCATTAATTGCATGGCTGTTTGTGAGACATTGCTATGTGCAAGTCACTTTGCACATTGTAACGTCCCACAAACAGCCAACCGAACAAGCATAGACGGGACCTCGGTTTACATCTCATCGGAAGGCAAAACTTCCATTAATACAGTGCTTCCTCTCCTATTCCACTGGAGCATCAGCTCAGACTGTCTATTGGTTTCATGTACACAGTCACTGCACTTTACAGTGCTTTGAGATGTCTCGACAACATAAGGCGCTGTTTCAAATAATTATTATTTATTATAAATCCCACATCTACTCCTCACCCACCTTCTCCCAGCTCAGTGTCTAACTCTGCCACTGTGTGGCGCTCAGAGACATAATCCTATGTGAAGGGCACTGTATAAATGCAAGACAGTTTTCTTGTTATTTTGCACCCCCAACAAATCTATCTCTTAAACTGTGCCTCCTCAACGGAACCCCAACCTCCCACCCCCACCTTATCTGAAAAGCCTTTTCTGCTGTGTTCCTATATGAAAGGCAACTGTGGAGAGAGTGGTGCTGTATTAAGGCAAGGATTGTTATTATTCCAGGCCACCCTTACCCACCTGAGGTTCAATTGAATCACAGACACCGTTTAGCGAGGCAACTGAGCTTCATAACAGCAGAAGATATGCAAGAATAAAGGTTAACTCGTAGAGCAAAACCTCAGTTTCAAAAGTCATGAAATCACCTAAACTTAGATTGAGAAATCGGATTCTCTCTTGTTTGGTATTAGCAATGACACCTCTATATAGTTGATATTAGCA